CCTGCCCCTATACAGGCATAAATTAAAGCTTGTACCGTAGCAACACGGGCCGATGCCCACGCCCTACGCCTAGGCCTCCGATACCTATATGATACAGATACAGCAGCAAAAATGATTATTATTCTTGTGTACTGACTGTACTATACTAGACTATACTGATACTGTGCTGGCCTATAGCCTATAGCCTGTAGCCGATAGCCTTAGCCTATACTACTTTTACCGTATAATAACCGTACCGTATAACTGTATAACCGTAAAATCATAGGGCCTATACCGCCTACCGCTTACATAGCCTATGACTGCTACTGCCTCTACAACCTACTGTAATGAATACGGTTCTGAATTCGGTGCACAGCAACGGTACACAGGCAGTGCACCACGTACAGCTCTGCAGCATTCTCAGGACACAAAAAAATCTGTTCTCAGGACACAAAAAATCTGTTCTCAGAATGACATCCAATGGCCCATTGCCCTCTGCAGCATTCATTGCACAACAACTCTATGATATCGTCGTGATATCGTCTACAGGTTCCCAGCAGTGCCAATTGTGACTGCGCATGATTCGGCCCAGACACTCTTCATCAGCCTCAGCTGCAGCCTGCCCTTGCTGAGCGTCGCCATCAGGTTCGTCGGTCAAGGCAGACAATTCCGACACTGCAGGTGCCCTAGAATGCTTCTGCTTGGTCTCATCCCAACCCAGACTCAAGAAACATGTCCGAACTTTCGGAGCAGTGTCGTCTGCTTCGCCAACTTCTTCACCAAAGAACGAGTTCTTAAAAGACCTGTCAGCAGGGTTGCCGCAAAACACTACCACCGCGCTGATCAGACAGTGTCACTAGCTTTCCAGGTTTAAGGTTTTAGGCAACGGTTTCGATTCGCACTCTCAGGGTTTAGGGTTCAGGGAACAGGGGGTTTAGGGACAAGTTAAGGGTGCAGCAGTCTAGTCAGTCTAGTAGTAGTGGCACCATAGCAGCAGGGTAGCAACCAGCAGTAGCAGCGCGAGTGATTGGTGTCACAGAACCAAACGACGATATCGACGATATTGCGATGTGACATCATCACTCATTCCGGTCCATACAGATGAAACGATACAGTATCCGCAGCTGAGAACTCATGAGCTGCCGGCAACACTGTCAACACTGGTTTCCCCTGTTCAACCGCGAGGAGCCCCTAACACAACCAACTTAGAAGCTGCCCCCACCCTGTAATAGTGACCATAAGGATTATAATTATATAAATTATAATTTATATATATTATAATTTCCTATTATACCGTCCACTATTACAGGGTGGGGGCAGCTCCTAACAACCAACCTCTCAGGACCTTGTCAAAACATAACATAATCGTGCTTGGCAATGCGGCAATGTCCCCCCTTCCCCTTACTATCCAAATCAGCCTGGCTTAAGTTCGATTACAGCATGGTGAGTCTGGGAAGTTTGTTCACGGCATACATCAACCTGGGCGATCGGGATGTGCTGTGGACCCTGCTGGCACATCACCACTGGCCTAGCACATACGATTGCCGACGGTGACACTGGCTTGGGAAAATGTATCATCTCTCATCTCTCACTCATCTCTGTGGGGAAGTGGTTAGGTCCAGGAGATGCAAGGGGCTAGAAGGCTTCGACTACGAGGCTCATGGACTCAGAACCTGCACTGCTACACTGCTACCGCTACTGCTACCGCTGCTACTGCTATACTTGCGCAGGTCTGGCTCTCGGAGTAAGCTTGGGACTGGTAGCAAGGTACGAGTTCAAACACAGGACACTGCTGAGAGTGCAGTATATACAGTCAGTACAGACTACGTATTGAGTACATACGGTACATGAATGACGCATGTCCTGTCGTTACATCTCAATGGATCAAGCAGAAGTGGGTCAAACCAGAACAACTTATAACTCAGAATTAAACTGCGAAACCCGCAGTGGAGCAACCGCGGCAACCCCAAACTTGCCCCAAACTAAACCAACACCCCAACACGAAACAACCAACAACCGACCGCCGACCACTGACGGATCGCTTCCCCCCCGGTGTCCCACCTGATCTGGGCATCCAAGAAGGATCTGGCTGTGATGAACAAGCTCTTGGTGTTTGGCGGTGTTTTGCTGGACTTGGAGAAAAATGCTGCGATCATCTGCTTCGTCTTGCTGTACGCCAGCTCCACAATGGACTCATGCTTGACTTTGCCACCTAGCATCTGGCACAACTTTTCTGAAAGCTCACTGAAGACACAGAATTTCTGGCCTCCGAACAAAGCAAAAGAACTCTTGCACAAGTTCAAGCAAGTCCCACCCTGTCCAAGGTGATCAATGCCCTCTGCTATCCCAACAGCCCGCTGCCCCAAACGCTGCTGGTCATTGGCCAAACGTGAAGCTTGAGGGTTGCGCCGCCCTCTGGCATCGAACTTCGGCGCCATGACTTATGCCACTGGACACTTCATGAAGCTAAGCTCTCACAAGCAAACCTATCGTAGCATTGCCAGCAGCATTGCTCATAGCATCATCTCAGCACCATACATACCCACTGATCCAAGATCCACTGAATCTCAGACAAGAAATTAAGGATGTTGCTGGCAATGCAAAGTCTCTGGGCCATCGATTCGCGTTGGAGGCTTGGGGCTTCGGGGTCTGTCGAGACCTTGACCTGAAAGACCAAAGAGACTGCTCGCTCTCCTCAAAGGCCCTGGCATGCCCTCTGAGCCACGTCTCTACCATTGAGATCCGACGAGGTTCTGCTAGGGATACCAAAATGTAGCAGTAGCTGTTGCAGCAGCAGTGGCGGTGGCGATAGCAGGAACGGAACAGTGGTGGTGGTGCCGGTGGTGGTGGTGGTGGTGCATGCGGTAGTGGTGGTGTTGATGGTGTTGATGGTGGTGGTGGTGGTGGTGGTGGTGGTGGTGGTGTTGGTGGTGGTGGTGGTGGCGGTGGTGGTGGTGGTGGGTGGTGGTGGTAGTGGGGGTGGTGGTGCTGGTGGTGCTGGTGGTGGTGGTGCTGGTGGTGCTGGTGCTGGTGCTGGCGCTGGCGCTGGCGCTGGCACTGGCGCTGGCGCTGGCGCTGGGGCTGGTGCTGGTGCTGGTTGTGGTGGAGGTGCTGCTGGTGCTGGTGTGGTGGTGGAAATGCTGGTGCTGGTGCAGTGGTGGGGTGATATAGTGGTGGGTGGTGGTGGGTGGTGGTGGGTGGTGGTGGGTGGTGGTGGGTGGTGGTGGGTGGTGGTGGGTGGTGGTGGGTGGTGGTGGGTGGTGGGTGGTGGGTGGTGGTGTGGTGGTGTGGTGGTGTGGTGGTGTGGTGGTGTGGTGGTGTGGTGGTGTGGTGGTGTGGTGGTGTGGTGGTGTGGTGGTGTGGTGGTGTGGTGGTGTGGTGGTGTGGTGGTGTGGTGGTGTGGTGGTGTGGTGGTGTGGTGGTGTGGTGGTGTGGTGGTGTGGTGGTGTGGTGGTGTGGTGGTGTGGAGGTGTGGTGGTGTGGTGGTGTGGTGGTGTGGTGGTGTGGTGGGGTGGTGGGGTGGTGGGGTGGTGGGGTGGTGGGGTGGTGGGGTGGTGGGGTGGTGGGGTGGCTGGTGGCTGGTGGCTGGTGGCTGGTGGCTGGTGGTGGTGGTGGCGGCGGTGGTGCTGGTGGTGAGAATGTTGGTGCTGGTGGTGGTGGGTGGTGGGTGGTAAATGGTGGGTGTGTGGGTAATGGGTGGTAAGTGATCAGTGATCCGTATAATTAATATACCGTACCTAAATAACACTAAAGAATAGACAGACTAGATAATATTAGACGCTGCCCCCACCCTGTAATAGTGGGGGGCCCTAATACTATAATCCTTACATTACAGCTTATAGTCACTATTACAGGGTGAGGGGGCAGCTTCTATTTACAAATTATATTATATATTGCTTCAATGATAAATAAATAATCTAATCTAAATATTCGTTAGAAGGTGCCCCCACCCTGTAATAGTGGTATAATAGGAATATAATATGGCCATGGCCCTAATATAATCCTTATAACTTATATAACTTATAGCCACTATTACAGGGTGGGGGTCCCTTCTAATAGATCCGATTCGATAATAATAATAATTATTACACTAATAATATAATAATAATTAATAATAATAATAATAATAATAATAATAATAATAATAATAATAATAATAATAATTAATAATAATAATAATAATAATAATAATAATAATATTAATAATAATAATAATAATAATAATAATAATAATAAATGGTGGGTGGTGTGGGTGGGTGGTGGGTGGTGGGTGGTGGGTGGTGGGTGGTGGGTGGTGGGTGGTGGGTGGTGGGTGGTGGGTGGTGGGTGGTGGGTGGTGGGTGGTGGGTGGTGGGTGGTCGGTGGTGGGTGGTGGGTGGGGGGTGGCTGGGTGGCTGTGGCTGGGTGGCTGGGTGGGTGGCTAAATGGCTGGGTGGCTGGGTGGCTGGTGTGGCTGGGTGGCTGGTGTGGCTGTGTGGCTGGGTGGCTGGTGGCTGGTGGCTGGTGGCTGGTGGCTGGTGGCTGGTGGCTGGTGGCTGGGTGGTGGGTGGTGGGTGGTGGGTGGTGGGTGGTGGGTGGTGGGTGGTGGTGGGTGGTGGGTGGTGGGTGGTGGGTGGTGGGTGGTGGGTGGTGGGTGGTGGGTGGTGGGTGGTGGGTGGTGGGGGGTGGTGGGTGGTGGGTGGTGGTGGGTGGCGGGTGGCGGGTGGAGGGTGGTGGGTGGTGGGTGGTGGGTGGTGGGTGGTGGGTGGTGGGTGGTGGGTGGTGGGTGGTGGGTGGTGGGTGGTGGGTGGTGGTGGTGGTGGTGGTGGGCGGGCCCGGGCTCCAAACTGACTCGGCTCTGAGTTTGGTGGGTGCCTCCGGGGCCCGAAATTGGATCTCATTTGCTGGTGCTACTTTTTGGCTGTGTGTTTAATGTTAAACCTAATTTTGAACTATTACAGGGAGGGGGCCACATCGAAGGCATACACCATGGGCCAGTTGCTTTCAACCTGGGTCAGCCTGTTGTCCCTTCTTTGGAAGAAATGCAAACGGGACTCGCCTTGCTTGAGGACTGTCCGCCGGGCATGCTGGACACCTACAGGACTTCCGCGACGAGCATCTCAGAGCGCACGGTGTTTGTCTCCGCCCCCTCTCAGTTCATTTACCGCACGGTGCTGGCGCCCTGCCTCCCGTTTGCGGGACACTTTGTCGCCTACGCGGTGTTGCCTGAGCACATTGAGCTGCAGTTGGCCCTGCCGCAAGGGGTGGCCTACCGCCGCCCGCAACGGCGACACGAACATGGGGACTTGCTCGAGATCTTTAGAGTCGCGCGCTGCGCTTGGCCCTTGATCTTTTATATGGAACACAGACTGCCGTTTCCACCAGCTGCGCTCGCGGCGGTTGCGCCACCACCGCAACCACGGCCACGGCAACCTCCCCACAGGGACGGAACGGCTCTTGTGCAGATTCCTGACCTTCGAGGCAAGCAGCACAGACGCTGTGAACAGCTCCAAAAGCTACACCCGACGGTCTCCTGTCCCTGCCACGAGGGCACTTTCCAGTGTGGCGAAGGCCAGCATACCGAGCGGCGAGCTGCTGTTGAGAGAGAGGAGAGGCCAAGTTCCTCACTGCCGAGACAACCTGCACCCAGCAAGGACGATGGCCTGCAGAAACTTACTGGGCCAGGTATGGCAGTTAGCATACCTACTCCGGGCGGGCGCCGTGCTTTACACCTGCCCATTCCGGCTACCGTGCCGCCTACATCACCCTGTCCCAAAGCTGATCAGGCCGGGTGCAACTCTTGGGAGCAGAGTTTCCCCTGTACCAACGGCCCTGGGTGGGACCCGTGCTCCGATACGGTCGTTGCCACCTCTCTCAAGAAACCCAAGCCCTCGGACAAGCGGAGGATAAGTCTAGTAATGGGCACTTCCTCGCGCCAAACTGCTGCCAATCCTTGAACGACAGCTCAGCTTTGCGGCCACCCACGAGGTCCTAGCGGAGGCTGTCGCTCCTTTCTGTCGCGGCCGCTTCCAGAAGGACATCAAAGGCATCTCCATGCACCCAACAGCCGCCGCTCTGTTACAGGACCTTCCGCTCCTAAGGCAAGACCACACAGTTGAGGCAACCATGCTCTATGTTGACGGTTCTTTTGACCCATCCAGCAGCAGAGGAGCTTGGGCCGTAGCTGTGTTAGCACTCGCAGAGGGTCAGTGGCGCTGGGCAGGTTTTCTGGCTGGTCGCTCCGGCCCGCGCACACATATGTCTAATGCCTTCGATGCGGAAGTCTATGCTCAGCTGGTTGCACACCTTGTCTGCGTTGCCAACCATTGGAAGCAGGCCGTCATCTGTTATGATGCCACCTCGGCTGCGCAGGTTACCTCGGCTCAGGCAGCGGGCAAAGACATTGGTGTTCTGCAACGAGCCGCGGCAGCCAGCAGACTGCATGCCCTTCTGCAAGGCTGCGCACCAGGCCTCACGCACACAAAGAGCCATGAAGGTAATCCGGGCAATGAGCTAGCTGACTCCCTGGCTACTTGGGCCCCGGGCCAGCCATCCAGCGATCTAGACGACCACATAGCAGATTTGATCCGGGAGCGCATCATGGACTGGCTTTGGCTATTGCAGCCCGCCTTTGCCCCTGCTAGCTGGCCGACGCTCGATGCCTCCGGCACCACGAAGCGGACACAGAGGCAGCAGGAGTACGCCTTGCCGCAAGCTCCGGCTGCTTGGAGTCCGCCCCACACTGCCACCAAGACTAGGGCTGCCAGCATACCCTGGAAGGTATGCACCTATAATACACTCTCTGCCCGGTCAGCACTGCAGCGGCACAGTCTGCAGACCTTCATGCGCAGCCAGGGCCTGGAAATCCTAGCTCTTCAGGAAACGAGAGAGTCTCCTGACCCAGTTAGGATTGTCGACGGAATCTATCGATTCGCCAGCGCTGCACCGGCAGGTCAATGTGGCTGCCAGATCTGGGTTGATACTAGATGCCACTCGGGCAAATGGGACCTGCGTTCATTTGCCATTGTGCACAGCCATCCAAGATTGCTGGCCATCACAGCTGTGTATGCAGGACAGCGGGTCGCTCTGCTCTCCGGGCACGCACGCACATCCGTCTCAACACAGGAAGAAATTCATGAGTGGTGGCAATTGTTGCACAGTGTGCTCAGAGCCATGCCAAGGGGGCACATCCCTGTCATCTGTGCCGATACCAATGCCCGTTGGCAGGGCGCCACGGCCTGCAACTGCAATGCATACCATATGGAGGAATTCCTCCAGCATCATGACTTGGCCTCCTCCGGCACTGTGGATTATCAAGGGAGGCCCGTCACCACCTGGCGGTCCCCCAATGGCAAGCCAGCTTGTTTGGATTTTGTCATGTTCCCTCGCAGCTGGCAGCCCTCTGTCAGCAATCTGGGTACAGTTGACATCCTCGACGAGCATGCTGGCATCGACCACCAGCCCTTACTGATACATATGAAGCTGTGCTTCGAAGAGCACACCGCCCACAAAACTCAGCGTTTTGATGTACATGCCATGCACACCGCAGAAGGCAAGCAGTGCATCCAGGAGATTTTCCGTGGGGCGCCGCAGCCTAGCTGGGAAGTCGGCGTCGATGAGCATCTTGCCACCCTCAATGCCTATTTCCAGTGCGAGCTTGGCAAACGCTTCAAGACGCCTCACAAGAAGCCGCGCAATCCGGTCATCTCCGCTACCACTTGGCAGTTGCTACAATGCAAGAGGCAAATGAGGCGAGCCCACCAAGGGCGGACGGCGTCGCAACAGTACTCCTTGCTGCGATCGACCTTCCGGGCCTGGCGTGACCAGGGCAATCCCGTCAAGACTCGGGCTCATGCCAAAGCTTTCCGCCAAGAGGTGGTGCACCGTATGGCCAAGGACACATGCTACTGCCTTACCATTCGCAGGCTCAGCAAGCTGGCTAAGCGTAGCACCAAGCAGGATGAGGCGCAGTATACTAGACATGCGTTCCAAGAGGCCCACCAAGACGGGCCCGTGCGCCTGGCGCATCTGATAAGGGCCGTCTTGAAAACAGGTCGCAGATACCAGGCTCCCAGGCTAGCCATCACACTCCGACAGGAAGGCGAGCTCATCACGGACAGGGCGGAAGTCCTCCGTCGGATGGGGCAGCACTTTGCCCAGGCGGAAATGGCTGACTCCCTCTCTTTTGCGAGTCTCCGCGATCAGTCCGAGAGCCCCGATGCAGGTCACCTCGAAGCCAGCTCCATGCCTTCAGTCGGTGACCTGGCGCATGGATTCGCATCCCTCAAACCAAGGAAGGCACCAGGCCTCTCGGGCTTGCCAGGCGATTTTTACCGGGCCTCGCCAAGCCTCGCTGCCGCCACACACTATCCCTTAGTGCTGAAGATGGCCGCGAGGGGCCAATCCCCGCTCTTATGGTCAGGCTCTTTGTCTGTCCCCTTGGCGAAACCAATGAAGTGCCCCCTCACGCCAGCGGGGTACAGAGCCATCGCCTTATTAGAAGCGGCGGCGAAAGCCACAGGTAAAGCCATGCGACAAAGCCTACTGCAAGGTCTAGAAAATATTGTGCAGCCAGGCACAGCAGGAGCGCGCAGAGCAGTGCCGATGGAGGTTCCTGCGATGACTGGGCAAGCCTACTTGGACTTCTTGAAAAGCAGCGCTCAAACCGGAGCCCTCCTGTATGTGGATGGGGTTAGTGCCTTTTACTCCACTAATCGCCACATCCTTTGCCAAGGCAGTGAAGCGGACCGCATCCAATGGGTCCAGGGTTTGCCGATTGAGGACAGCATCAAGCAAGCCTACCGAGAGATAACCTTGGACAGGACGGCACTAGACAGGGCCGAACTAGACAAGATCATTCAAAGGTTAGTCCACGCCAACTTTGAATGCACGTGGTTCACGACGTTGCCGGATGACCCACAAGTACACCGCACCCGGGCGGGCACTGTGCCAGGGGCTCCCTTGGCGGACTTGCTCTTTCAACTTGCTATAGCGGCCAGTTACCAGTGCATGCGCGACTGCCTCCGTGCGGAAGGCCTGCTGGTCACTGTCCAGGGCACGGAGGCGGTCCTCCTCACGTGGCTTGATGACTTTGCAGCCCCAGTTGGAGCCTGCAAACCGAGCGACCTCCCACACCGCCTGTCGCGTACTGCAAGTATCACAGCTCAGGCCCTTAGCACCTCTGGCATTGCCATGAATTTTGCGCCTGGCAAATCCGAGGCAATTGTCATTGTGCAAGGCAGCGGCGCGCAGAAGGTCCGCACCGAGTTGTTTGTTACAGGACAAGGTACGATACCTGTTGACATGCCCAATAGCCCACAAGCTCAGCTTGTATGTACCGAGCATTATGTCCACCTTGGCACAAAACGCACCCCTGAGTGCTCAGCGGTCCCAGACATACAACGCCGGCAGGCAGCAGCTAATGTCGTTTGTACCAAAGTATGCACTCGGCTTTTACGCAACCCCGTGCTCACCAGGACGGAGAAGTGCCACTACTACTTCTCGCTGGTGCTGAACCGCTTTCTGCATGGACTAGCCACTTGGCCCATGTCAACACGCAAAGAGCGAGAATGCTACCGAGCAGCATACCTCGGTTTCCTGCGCAGGGCTGTCAAGCCCTTGCATGGCTACCACTGCTGGCGCATGACGGACCAACATGTCTGCATAGCGATTGGAGCCTTGCTGCCGGAAGAGGCACTGCACGTTGGCCGCATTCGCATCCTTTCGCAGATCGCTGCGCATGGGACAACTTTCCTGGGTGAGCTTTTGGCAGCGTCACAGTCCTGGCTGCACCAGGCCCAAACAGCTGTTCATTGGGCTGTGCAATTGGTGCCCACTGCGCGTTTGTCAGAGTGGTTGCAACAGACCCCGCAGGGCCGCGATCTTTTGTCCTGGCCCCTGGACGCAGCCGGTACCCGCAGTTTTCTGAAACGGGTCCGCACCAAAGCAGTCCAATCTAGAGCACATCTCGAGCCTCTGGTAGCGACTCGGGCCAAAGCTCTTCACAAGGCAGAGGCACAGGGCATGCTCGTTGTCAAGCTCCTCACAGGAGCAGCGACACACCGATGCGCTCAATGTGGGCAACTCTGCTCTACGCCGTCGGCCCTGGCAGCCCACTGCGAAAAGGTCCACGGCAGGCGTGCGCCCTGTCGTAGCGCCATTGGGACGTCTTGCCAGGCCTGTTCCCAAGAGTTCTGGTCGACGACTCGTTTGCGTGAACACCTGCGTCGAGCGCGGTGTTGCAGTGCTACATATGTCGGCGCAGATCTCGATCCTCAGCCGGACGAGGAGCTGGGTACCAAACAATGCCCAGTGCAGCCGTTTCATGGCCCTCGCCCATTCTGGGCAACGCTCCGCCCTGCGCCAGAGCAGGCTAATACCACGACTCCCTCATTCGCCGCAGGTTCCCTGATACAACTGTTGACAACGGTCCACGAAGTGGCGGATCTTCCATCGCTTCTCAAGCGGTGGTGGCAGGTTACTGATAGCGATGAGGTTGAGGCGACCCGGTCCCAGGTGATTTCGCTCCCTAGGGATTCGATGTCCCCGGCGTGCAAATTTGCCGCCGAGTGGATACAATTTTGCTCCGCGACCACGTGGGTGTCGCCTTTTTCGGCAGAGGGACTAACTGCAGTACGGAGCTCTGATAAGTTGATGATTGCTGAAGACAGCGTCATCCAGGAGCTGCGCAGTTCAGTCGCCGATGCCCTACTGTTTGCATGAGAGAATGCACGGCGCGTCGACAGACTCGAGCCAATCCCGAAGAAGAAGCCCCGAGCCCTGGACCTGCGACCCGAAACACCTACACCCAACAGCCCTGAAGGGTTTAGGGGTTTAGGGGTTTAGGGTTTATTGTTCAAGGGTTTAGGGTTTAGGGGTTTAGGGTTTATTGTTCAAGGGTTTAGGGTTTAGGGGTTCAGGGGTTTATGGGTTTCTGCCTCGTCCGGCAGCGACTTGCCTTGTCGCCGGAGCTGGCTCAGTGTCCAGATCACCTCGGCAAAATAGCGTCTCTGGAGCCTTAAGCCGATGGTCTATGTCGAACTGCTTAGAGGATCATGGGACTTAGTAAGCAAGGTTATAAGTACCTTAATTGGGGCTATAAGTGATTCTAAGTATAGTTACCCTAGCTATCACCCTACTTACTAAGTCCCCATGATCCTCCAAGCACTGGTCGAGAGAGTAGGATTTGTGATTAGTCTCAACTACTCATCATCATCACCATCATCCTCAATACGACACCATCAACAATGCTAGAGAGTACAGGAGTAAGGCAGGTGCCAAAGCGTCAGACAGACAAACAGATCAATGAAATGCTACTGAAGCAAAGACGCACACAAATAAGAATGTAAAAGAACTCAGTATACATAAATCACCAAAATCAACAAACCAACGAACAAACCAACAGAAAGAGGAAAAGTGTGCGTGCGTGCGTGCGTGTGTGTGTGTGTACATGTGGACTAGTATATACCTCCACCGTATGTATGTGCAAACATATTTATACGTACATGCATATAGACACGCCTACACACAACCAAAATGAACAAACCGGCGAATCGAACACAAAAAAGGAAAAGCTGCGAAGCCCCAGCTTACCTTTGGTTAGTAGGGAATGGAGGACTGGGGTACAACTAAAACTACTATTACTTCCATTCTTCCATTCCCTACTGACCCTTAACCCTAAACCCTAAACCATAAACCCCAAGCCAGGCGCCAAAGTGAGCAGCGCCGCCGACTCGGCGAGCAAAAGGTCCGACCCCAGGGCGGCGAGGCAGCGGCAGGCCGTCTGCAGGTCGTCCTCGTCTCTTCTAAGGATCTATTGTAGAGTTCCTTTGAAGGGTTCCTCAAAAGGATGTCTATAAATCTATAGTAGGGTTCCTTTAAGGGGTTCCTTAAAAAGGGGTCTATAAATATGTAGTCGGGTGTAGCTTTCTGAGGTTTAAGGGTTTTAAGGGTTTCAAGTTGTTTTGCATGCAATGAGGTTAGGGTTTCGGGTCCCGTCTTTTTTGGAGAGCTGCTTAATTTTTCGGGATTTCAGGGCTTTATGGCTTTAGGGTTTAGGGTTTGGGGTTGTAGGGTTCAGGCTTCAGGAGTTTAGGGTTCGGGGTTTAGGAGTTTAGGGTTTTGGGTTTTAGGCTGTTTAAAGTCTGTTCTCAAGGCTTTGATGGCTTTAAGGTTTTGAGGTGCTGCTGAGGCTGCTAAGGTTTCAAAGATTTTGGCCTTAAGCGTATCGGTATGGGGTTTAGGGTTTGGGGATAAAGAACTTGTCCTTATATACGATTTAGAGTTTGGGTTGAACTTAAGCCTACAGGGTTTGGAGGTCGTCTTGTCTTTAAACGGAACAATTGCATTTAGGGAGTCGTGCGGCTCACGGAAGCATGCATGCCCTGGACCCACATGAGGTAAAGGCCCCAAAAAAAAGGCCCAGGGAATCCCAGCCGCTTTACAAATCCTTGCCAAGCCGTCGAAACTCCAAAAGCCCGACAACTCTGAACTCCAGGCCCCCCTAAACCAGCCTGCAACCCGAGAAGGCCCCCGAAACCCGAAGATCCTCCAGGGGCCCACCGTCAGAATACCACTTGACGGTTTAGGGCTCAGGGACGCTATGCCTGTATATGGAACCCTGATTTAGTCATACTACAGTAAAGCCCTGTTCCAATTACCGAGGCCCCTATCTTGAAGCTCGTTTTGAATGTGCTCTAAACGCCCGTTCCACGATGCGCCATGATGATTACATGAGCCAGTACATGCAAAACACAACTCTATATCAACGCTTTGGAAACTCGACATTTGTCCTCAGCCCCAAACCCAAACCCTAAACCCTAAACCCTAAACGCTTGGCCGTAACCCTGAACCCAAGCCCCAAACCCTAAGCCCGATACCCCAAACCCACCCTAAACCCTTTCAGAGATCCCAATATCCCCTAATTAATTAAGGGATATATACCTTAAATTATAGGGGCCTTCAAATTATGGTTTACGGTATTTTCCTTTATTAATTAAGGGATATTGGGATCGCTGGGATTTTTGCCCTAAGCCCTCAGCCCCAGACCGCGCCTGCAACTTCCCGGGATCCGCCAGCAGCCGCCCGAAGGAACCCGTGGCCGCGTAGCGCAGCAAACGGAGCAGGGCCCCCGCCACCTTCCCCGAGAAATTCGGTCTCATAGGGCTTTAGGGTTTAGGGTTTATAGGGTTTCAAGGTTTATAGGGTTTAGGGTTTATCGGGTTTCAGGGTTTATAGGGTTTAGGGTTTATCGGGTTTCAGGGTTTATTTAGGGTTTAGGATTTAGGAGTTTTAGGGTTTGGGGTTGCAGGGTTTCAGTGTTTAGGGGTTTTGGGGCTTAAGGGTTGTGGGTTTCTGCTGGGGTTCTGGGTCTAGGGTTTAAAGGTTTTGGGGGTAGAGTCGCGCAAGGTGCGAAACGGTTGTACAAGGTTTCTCACAAGCTGGTGTTAAGGGCGTTCGCACGGTACGGTTTAGGGTTTGGGGTTGAAGGGTTTGAGGGTTTAGAGTTTGGGGGTCAAGGGTTTTGCAGGATTACTCCAATGTCTGTATTCAACCTTAACCCTACGTACCCTACCTTTTTAAGGACTTATATAAATCAATCATACTAGGGAACCCTAAAAAGGTAGGTTCCTTAGGGTCCAGGAAAACCTTATGGGGTGTTGGGGCTCAGATCTAGTCGGCTTTGGGGTTTCCTGGCTTGGCGTGAGAGTACCTTCAAAAGGACCCTTACAAGGAACCATTAGAGTAGCCCTCAAAGGAACCCTTATAGTATAGGGTCTTAGGGTTGCAAGGCTTCGGGGGTAGAGTCCCGACACTCATATGTTTAAAGCTTTTCCCGAGCTTAGGGTGTAAGGGTTGAGGAGGAAGTTACTTTCGATGGGTTTTTGAGCTTTCTCTAGCCGCTGGGCTCTGTTGTGGATAGAAGGGTGTCCAACATTGGAGGGAAGATCCCTGTATTGATACTGAGGATCCGTGGTCCCCACCTCCAGAATTGACGGTTGCCCCAAATAGCAGCACGGAAAACAATCATAACGAAATAGCACCGTAAGCTAGTTTCAACAAGGAATCCCAACGTCCGAGCCTCCAAAGCTCCAAACCTCCAACCCCACCAACCCAACCCTCAGACCGCAAACCTGCTCAAGAAATTGCCGCCCAAAACCCACATCCTAAGGTAAAAGCCAGAAAGTTGGAATATGGTTTCAGGGTAGGATACCTTATAGTTTACCATAAAGGGCTTGGGATAATCATATTCCAACTTTCTGGCTTTTACTTTAGACTAAAATACCGAACCTACCGAAACTCTGAGCTTGGGAAAACCCGAAGCTCGGGTACCTGGCCGAAGAGTGGTATGCATCCTGCTGCAAGGGCCTGGCATATGCATTATTCTACTATACATGCGTGGTTAAATACTACTACGAGTATCGTGATTATAGGAGTAAGTAGTCTTCTTCTTATCATTATCATAATTATCAGTGTTATTACTAGTATTGGCATTCCTATTCCCATAAGTCTTAATAGTGAATTCGTGGTGTTGGACCTACTTTCCTCAGTCGCTGGATGTTCTGAGTAGAGCATAGGTAAGCTCGAAGAAGACTTGCGGAGTTCAACAAAGAAGGCGCTCGTATCATAAGGCTTAAAGACCCGTAGGAAGCCAAGTTCGGGGAACATGGCGTGGAAGCGATTGCAGAGTTTGGGCGGGCTTAGAAATGTGGGTTGGACGGTGTCTTCCTGCCCGGTCCAGCCGAGATGTAGCGAGCAGGGGGGAAGCAGTCATAGATACACCCTGGTTATGGTTGCAATCGCTCTGCGAAAATCACACAGGGAAGAGTTTCTTTCGAGGGTACCTTTAAAGAGTCTATACGGGTTTCTATAAGGGTTCCAGGGTTACCATAAGGGTTTCTATGTTATGAAGGGGCCGAAATGCATAGAGTGGGGAACGGATGTACATTAAGGGTGTAAATATTCTAGGGCTGTAAGGCGACACGGTTAGTGATTCTTCACACTGAATTGTTCAAGTCTGAAGCCAAGAGCCTGCAGTGTCGAGTGAAGACTTCACAAGTCTGGTCGTGGGGCCCTTTGAAACGAGATGTAAATGAGAAGTTGATCTCTTCCTGGCTTCGCCTTGAAAGTGTCACGTCTACTACTGCCAGGGAATCTGCCTGCACCGGCAAAACAAGCCTACTTACAATCAAGCACTTGAACCCTACGGCAACCCTAAGCCACTTACTCCAAGCCCCGAACCGATAAACTCCTAAACCTCAAAGCTTAGACCCTGGGTCTAAGCCGAGGCATAGCCCTTCGATGTTGTGCGGTTCGCAGTTCTTCCTCATGATTCTCACACGGTCTACGCGTCAGGGCTTATACTCATTGCCCCATGACGGATCGGATGCTACTGCTGTGAATCCGAAACTCCTACTGAGGGCCTTTGGGGTTTTAAGATTTGGGGCTGAGGGTTTAGGGCTACAGGCCAGGTTTTAGGGTTTACTTGGAGGATCATGGGACTTAGTAACTGAGGTTATAAGTACCTTAATTGAGGTTTTAAGTAATTATAAGTATAGTTACCTAAATCATAACCCGAGATACTAAGTCCCATGACCCTTTAAGTAACCCTAAACCCCCCTTCTAGAACCCTTATAGATCCCTTTAAAGGAACCCTTCTTTGGAATCCCTCTAGATCCCTTTCAAGGAACCATTATAGAACCCTTAGTTACTAAGTCTCATGA